CTTGGTGCAAGGCTATCGGGTGCTACAATTAGAGTCTTTAAGCACAACAGTGAGTATTAATGAGGCAGTTTTGGCTAATTGATGGAAAAGTGAAATTCATGTCTTAACTGTCTCTCTTTGGAGACAATGTGTTCATTCTTTTAATATTTAAGAAAAAGGTTTCTGTTTTTCATGAAAATAGGTCTCAACTTACCACAGTGAAGTTCAATTTTCATTTGTAGCATACAGTATATTTGGATAAGACTAATTAATCTTTTCTGTATTACAAAATTATTTATTTACTCTCATGTTAGAGAAAAGATACAAAAGACTAAGATTTTAGATAGCTCTAAAATTTGAGACAGGGAGCCTTTGTCATCTTTTGGTGGGAGCCCCCAAACCCTAATTAATTTCATGTTTATCATAAACATTGTGCTTGATTGTCCTTAGTTATTCTCTGTCCTTAAAGAGATTTAAAGTACAACCAACAGTTAAAAAGGATATAGTTAATATAGAAAAACTTTCAAGTGGAAATCTTGATTTCTAAGGAATAAGAAGCAGTTTTGTACTTATTCTTTTTTCCTATGATCTCAGTAGGAAAGAAGACATTGGTGGGTGTGCTCAGCACATAGGACTTTGATCCTAAAAGTCACATGTGTGTTTGTACTGAATGTACAAACCAAATGCACTCTTAATAAAAAGCAGGTGTTATTCTGTATAGGGGAAAGCATTAACATTTTTTTTTTTTTTGCCTATGTGTAGAAAAAAGTCATGTATTCATATTTGACATGGTTTTTTCCTAAGCCGCCTTCTGCGAAATATTATTCAGAAGGATGGCATTAATGCATAAAACTACTATTTCTGTTTACCCAAAGGGATACTTCTCTTTCTTCATTTGCTACATTTTAGGGCATATTGTATGTGTAAACTATCTTCAGCACATGAATCCTCTACCTTTCAAATTACTGAGAATATACTGAGCAGATTTTTAAAAAAAGGCATTGAGAACTGGTCCAGTTCACTCACAGTAAAGTCACTGATCAAGTACTAAAAAGATGAGTACCTGCGAACTTTGAGTTCCTATGCTCTTTTCCTTTCTTCTCCAGAATAGCAATGAGAAAACTTTGGAAGTTTCTGTTTCCATTGTACATTAATCACAGTTTAGCATATCATCCAAATTCTGAGCTATGGTTAATTGTAATTATGGTTATTTAAACGTCACTTTATAAATAATGCTTTAAAATTAGCTTATCTGAATTAACCAGTTTTTCAACAGCCTGTGGCAAACCAAATAACATTTTAGTCAATTATAGTTAAGATTCATCATAGTTTATTCAAGTTCCAAAGTTACACTAAACTGTGGTTAATCTTAAACAATGGGAAAGCTTTGGCACTCTTTCCCATACTACACTGGAGAAAAAAGGGACATTGTGTGAGCCTGAAGCAGATTTCTGTAACATTAAATTATGATTTAACTTTGGAATCTAATCAGACCACTGTGTTCAAGTTCTGAACAAATACTAGAGACATGATTTCAGTGTTTGATACCACTGTTACCTTAACCATCTTTCACACCCAGCTATTATGTTATCAGAAGTCCCACAGTGTCTGATAAGCCTGACTAGTAAATTTGGTAAATATTGAACCAAAACCAAAAAAATGCTTCCTAGTTCAACAGAAACCACTTCACTGGATGGAAAATTAATTAAACAATTACCTTTGTAAAATCTTAATGGAGTTTTTGTGCATTATCACTCTTAAGATGCTGGTTAGCTTCTAGTCAACAAAGGTTTATATCACAATCCTTTTTAGTTTAAATTCTTAAACATGTTGGCATGCATCATAATTAGAATTGAACATTCTGTTGCAAATCTGAAGATTGAAGTGAGCAGTGTTTTTATCAACATATAGCAGCTGCAGAGTCCTTTTTTTATTATTATTATTCTGCCATAAGAATAATATATGTGTCCATTACTTTAATATATTCAATGAAGTCTAAACTTGGGATTTCAGCAAAACATATTCTAATATTTTGCAGTGCCCTAGTGGGTAGCCTGTGTCTATGAGCAAATCTGTATTGGGCTTTGAATGTTAGTAGATAACTATAAGCAAAACTTTTCTTGCTGGAGTGCCCAAATTCTAGAATGCTTTCCCATTCTGCAAGACCAGGATCCAGTTTTTAATCTGGTTTATTCTGGAATTTAAATATAAAATATGTTCAATTCCTAACTGACTGGTGGCAAAAAACTTTCTTAAAGCTTTTAACTATTTTAACTCAAAAAGTAGAAACCTTCTGATGTAGAAATACTTCACTGTTAGGATGCAAAGAGATTTAAGTATTCTTTTCCTAACCTCCTGCTATTCCTCACTCTGTCACTTTATTGTTTGGTAATCTGAGCCCAGATAAGCCTTACAAAGAAAGCCATTACAGTTATTAGCACAGTTATCAAACTGGGTGAGCAAATTGTGTTAATTAGTGAAGAAATAATTTATTCTATACATTATTATTTATATTTTTATTTCAGTGACTCCTATGACATTAATCAGTACTTCAGCAGTATTACTGAAATGCAGTAACTAACCAGGGATGCTATTTAAATTAGGCAACAAATGGTTCTGATGATAATTCATATGTTAACTCTTCAAAATGAGAAGTATTGAAGCAATATTCAGGACACTTTTTTTTTAAAGCTTCATGATTTCAACAAAAGTTAAAATAACAGAAGTCACACCAAAACCAATAAGACATGAGTATTCAAATGTTGTAGTCTTATGACTTCATGAAATTTAAAATAGGATTAAACTTTCTCTTTGCCTTGATATCACAAATGCAATCAGACTGAAACCATTGAGAAATACAGTGGTTTTGAAATGTAAGAATGACAGGAAAAATCTTCCATATAGGGAATTCCTTTTAAGCTGAATGATATTTATTGATAATAGAAATTTTGAAAATTCGGACTTGGTTGCTTTACCCTGAATACATAAAGAGAAATAGCTTGATATCTATTGAGTATGGATGGTAAAAATATGAGTACTCAAAGATAATTTTTCACCTTATTTAACTTCCTCCCAACCTTTTTAAAATTACTGGCTGGTATGCCATAGATAATTAAAACAGGCTTTAACCAGTAAAAGTCTAAACTTCCTGTTCTCATGTCTTAGAACTGTGTTGATGTAAAACAATTTTGTAACCAGAATCCAACTGAGCTATGTAGTTACAGATAGCTGTGTTTTTATCCATGAACCACAACTATGCCCATCAGGCTCTGTTAAAAAGGAATCAGTAGAAGTTAAATGCTTCATTAGGTACCAATAGAAGCGAATACAGTGGTACCTCGGGTCACGAACTTAATTTGTTCCGCGACCCGAATCAAATTTTCCCATAAGGTTCAGTGTAAATACGGTTAATTCATTCTGACCCCTACGAATTTGGTCGCCAACCGAATCAAATTTTCCCATAAGGTTCAATGTAAATATGGTTAATCCGTTCTGAAACATATGTATTTTTTTTTAAACCACCATACAGTGGTACCTCGGGTCACGAACTTAATTTGTTCCGCGACCCGAATCAAATTTTCCCATAAGGTTCAATGTAAATATGGTTAATCCGTTCTGAAACATATGTATTTTTTTTTAAACCACAAAAATATGAAACAAAGTACAGTACAGTACAGTATGAAGAGAGACAGTATGAAGAGAGAGAACACTAACCTTGCTTGAGGCGACTTCTGGCGTGGAGGACAGGAAGGCGGGTGGGGAGGCGGTTATTGTTTGGAGGGAGAGTCCCCCTCCCTACCGGAAGCCACGACCACGTGTCACGGCAGGGAAAATGGCCGCAGATCCTGTTCAACACCCAATACAGAGTTCGTGAACAGAAGCAAAATTTTGTGAACAGTGCTGTTCGTGAACCGAATTGTTCGTGAACAGAAGCGTTCATGACCCGAGGTACCACTGTATGTGTAGCTCAGGGTTGAACTGTGAAGTCCTTGGGGTTCTCTGAGCTTGGCTGTTTCTCAGAACTTGGCTTTCTCAGAGCTTGGCTGTAACATCTTCAGTGCTAGCACTGAAGATGTTACCTAGCCGGGTAACGAAACGTTTGCAAGAAAACAGCCCAGCTCAGTGAACCACAAGGGACTCCACGCTTCATTACGTATTTGAAGTCCCAATATTTTCAATACGAAGTGAACCAAAAGCTCACATTTTTCCCACGCTGCCAGGATGAGCTGACAGCCCGCTTGTCCAGTCAGAGTCAGAAGGAAAGCTTGGAGCAGAGTCTGATAGGAACGGGTCTTTGCGTGCAAAGTGGAGAGAAAAGGCTGGAGCTTGGTCTCTTAGGGCTTCAGCTTTGCAGCTTTCAAAGCAGGAGATTTTTAAAAAAGATGTTTGCATGTGCTCCCACACATTGCAAAGAGACTTTTTCAAAGGCTGTTCGTGGCCTTAGGATCAAGGCCTTCTCATTGGTTAGACTTGAGGTGAAGCTATGATTCTTGAATACCTGTCTGCTGATGGAGGTGTATCAAATCAAATCATAACTTTATTACAGTCAAAGACCAGCATAGTGGAGATGAATAATGCACAAGAGATGAATGGTACTTTTGATGTCATGCATTCTAAATTGCTAGCATAGATTCTGAAATGCTTTTGACCTTTTCCTGTATCAGAGTAAATGCGCGTAGATTTTATTTATTTATTTATATTTCAAATTTGTCACTGCCCATCTCACTGCAGAGCGACTCTGGGAGGGAACTCCATTAATTTTTAAAAGCAAACTGAATGCAAACTAAAAATTGCTATTGCATTATTTGTGTTCCTACCTCCCGCCAAGTTGCAGCAGCATTGTATTTTGGCATATTTCAATTTGTAATCAATAACGTGATACAGTACACTAGTTTGAAGTATCTTGCCTTATCTAAGGAGACTTGATAGACTATATGGCTTAGCAGGGATAAAATAAAAATATCTCTAAAACACATCACATTAATACTTCTGTCAAATTTAATGGATATTTTTTTCCTAAAAGAGATTGTGAAAGAACATTCTAATTTATATTTTACTAGATTCAGTCAGTATTTTAAAAGTTACAATAGTAATAATTTATACAGAAGCTTGGTTTGGTTTCCTAAGCATCTCACACTTGGTTTAAATTTTTTACAAAATGGATTTGCAGTTTGTAGAAATACAAAATATAAATATTTGATACAATGTTTCATATTTCCTTGTATTTTTAAAATCAGATATGCAGAGCTTGGAAATGCTGCTGAAGGATGCAGTAATACACGGACAGCCTCGAAGCCGAAGAGCATGGAAAAAAATTCTTATTCTAGTAGAGGGTATTTATAGGTATGTAAAATATGTAATTTCAACTGAGCATGGAGATTCCAGAAAATCCATCTAAAATACCCCAATATTTTGTACTATTAAACACAGTGACCAGAAAGCCATACAATTATACTATACAAGTTGGATTTTTCTAATTTGTTTCTTCTGTTGCTTATATGGTTCTGTTTTTTAATTTTAATTTTTATTTGCTTTGGGGAAATAGTTTGAGAGGAAGAGTTGGCATGATGTTGGCATTATAATAGATCAGTTCATACAGTTTCATCCATTAGATCAGTACTCAGTTCTCATTAGCTTTCTTGTTTTTCCAGTATGGAAGGCTCTATTGTACGCTTGCCAGAAATTGTTGCCTTGAAGAGAAAATACAAAGCCTACATCTACTTGGACGAAGCCCATAGCATAGGTGCTGTTGGTCCTACAGGAAGGGGAGTTGTGGAATACTTTGGAATGGATCCTAATGATGTTGATGTATTGATGGGAACTTTCACAAAAAGTTTTGGAGCAGCTGGAGGTTATATAGCTGGCAAAAAGGTAACAGCAGCAATCATTAGCATTCAACAATATACAGACTATCATGGATGTAACATCTGGCTTCTAAAAAAGTTTAATAATATCCTAAATTGTGGGTTCAGTCAGGAAACAAGTGTCTTCTGCAAAAAGTTTTCCCTTTTAGCTGGGATGGGTAGCTCCAGGCCAGTTGCAGCCCACAGCATCAGTTTGAAACTCTCCAAGTATCCTGAGATTGCACTGCCAAATGTTGACAGCAAAGTGGCCAATTTTTGGTAGCCCATTTTTACCATTTTAAGAAAATTACATGTGGTCCTCACTTAACAATGGTAATTGGGACCAGGATTTCCATTGCTAAGTGACATGGTCATAAAGCGTGACTGCTGACACTTCCGGTTGCTGTCGTTAAGCAAATCACTGCAGGTCATTAAGTGAGGATATCATGTGGTCACCATTTGCAACCTCCTGTCAGCTTCCCCATTGACTTTGCTTGTAGGAAGCTGGCAAAGAAGGTTGCAAATGGCGATCACATGACTGTGAGATACTGCAATGTTGTAATTGCAAGATGGGTGCTAAGCATCTGGATTGCAATCGTGTGACAGTGGGGACAATAGAAGTATGAGGACCAGTTGTAAGTACCACTTGCTCAGCACCATTTAAGTTTGAATGGTTGCTGAAGGAGTGGTCGTTAAGCGAGGACCACCCGTAAAGGTCAAAGCAGATGTAATTCTCTATGGTGCTTAATGCATCTTTAAAAGTGCCAAAGTAGGCTGAAATGATCTTGGCCTTCTGATCAAGACAATCTTATACAGCCCTCAGAGGCCAAATTGTTGGGAGGGGGTTGGCCCAGAGCAAAAAAAAAGTGCTGATCCCTGCCCTTGAATTTCTGATTGCTCTAGCTCTGGAGATCTTTTTCTGGATCAACAGCATAGGTGGTTAAGCAAATTACGTGCCCATTAAGTGAATCACATGGTTCCCCATTGATTTTGCTTGTCAGGAGCTGGCTAGGAAGGTCACAAATGGCAATCATGTGACCCCAGGACGTTGCAACCATCATAAATTCATGCTGGTTGCCAAGTCCCCAAATTTTGATACTCTGATCATGTGGGGACACTGCGACAGTCGTACGTTACTTTTTCAGCACTGTCGTAACTTCAAATGGTCACTAAATAAATGGTCAAATGATCATTTCACTTTCAATTCCTATATTGTTTGTAAGTGGACATGAGATCTCATTATGGATAGCATACTATGTTTAAACATTATGTAGTATGTTAAGTTTATACACTGATTTTATGAATTTAGATTTATACCATGGCAAATTCTAAGGAGCCAGAGTGGGTAATAATTTTTAAGAGAGAAGCCCACATCCCTTGACATGGTTCACAATGGAGTACAAAACAGAAAGTCAGACAGTTAAAAAAGAAGATAATGATGTTCATATTAGAATCAGGAGTGATATGAAAATTGTTGCTCTTGGCGAAATAGTACCATTTCATTCTTCTGGGTATGTGATACATGTGCTATATGTAAATAAAGTCAAGATAGGACATCTTATGTTTTTGCAAGACAATTTGGAAATACAAATTTTCTTGCCATGTACTGATTTTACTTGTTTGTTTATTTGTCTTGAGTGTTTTGGCCATTGCTTTAAGACTGTTGTTTGAGGAAATATCCAGAAACATGTTTGAAGAAGAATTCATTGAGAAGGGGACAAGAATTTAACTGTCATTTAATGATAAACTAAATTATCTGCTATTTGCAGTTTTATGCATGTTTTTCTCATCTGCCAACTTCTATTCTAGAAAGGGGGTTTCTGATGACCACACTGAAATATTGTTCTTTTGATTTAAGGAATTAGTGGACTACTTACGAGTTCATTCACATAGTGCAGTCTATGCCACATCTATGTGTCCTCCTATAACAGAACAAATTATAAGAGCAATGAAATGCGTCATGGGACTAGATGGGGCCACACAAGGTAGGATATTTCACTAACTTGGTCTTGTTTGTATTGAAAATAGATGGGAATAGTCATATTAATAGTGTATACTGTAAAAATATTTGGTATCATGAATGAATGCAGCTGTCTTTTTTTATAGCCCAAGTATGAGCAAAATGCTTGTATTTTAGGGACCAAGATACCTGACTCACATAATATCTGTAGGTAAATTCTGCTTGGAGGATGTTGCATGCTCTGCCTTGAAATATGTTACATGCTTTGCCTTGTCCTCTGTTCATTCCAGGTTTTTGTTACTTACATTAAAACATACAGGTAGTCCTTGACCTACGACCATTCATTCAGCAACCGTTCAAAGTTATGACAATGCTGAACAAATGGTGGTTACATCTGGTCCTCGGAGCTCCAGCCGTCACAGTTCCCCCATGGTCATGTGATCATGATATGATCGCGTCATGTGGATGCTTGACAACTGGTTCACATTTATGACCAGTTGCAGCTCCCTGCGATCACAAGATCGCCATTTGCAACCTTCCCTGCCGGATTTCCCAGAAAGTCAATGAGGAGGCCAGCAGGGAAGGTTGCAAGTTGCTGGGATAAGTATCCCACACCCCTCCCCCAGCCCCTCTGCACTTGCACCGTGCTGGCCATTCGTGCACTCCCATGCACCCTCCCCAATCCAAGCTGCACCTAACCCACACCACACCTCTCTCACACACCCCTGCACCCTCCCCAGCCCTCACACATACCCATGCACCCTCCCCGACCCTCATGCGCCCTCCCTGACCCTCACATAGCTCCTCACACCCTCCCCGACCTGGTTTTTTTATCCTGTCTTCAAGCTTCTCATTTTAGGGAAGGATGTTGAGAGGGTGGTCACCTTACAACTCTAGAGAACCCTGGAGGAAGCAAATGGACCCATTTCAATCTGGATTCAGACCAGGACATAGTACTGAGACAGCTTTGTCAATGACCCATGGTTGACTCATGATGGGGGGGGGGTGCATCCATCCTAGCCCTCTTTGACCTTTCAGTGGCTTTCAATACTATCAACCATGGTATACTTCTGGACTGGCTCCAGGGGTTAGGGGTGGGACACACAGTGTTACGGTGGTTCTTTTTTTTCCTCCAGGATCAGCTCTTGTCAGTGTTGGTGGGAGAGGAGCAGTCTAGCTCTGGGCTCCTGCTGTGTAGCTTATCCCATGGCTTTACTTTCTCCCCACTTTTATGTAACATCAATATGAAACCACTATAACATCTGAGTGCCAGTTGTATGAGGTGCCAGCATAGAGCAATTGCAGAAGTAACAAATTACTTCAGCACAGTGTCTACTATGAGTAGAATTATATAGTTTCTAAAGTGGCACCAAGACATGGGAGCTTAGAGGAAGAGTTTGCAATTGACATCATAAAAATAGACTGATTTAAATGTTTTTGTATATAAACATTCCTGCCAATGGAGGGCAATATTGTGCTCATTTTTCCAATATTACAGGATTCTTCCCAAGCTCAAGATGTAAATGATATAGGTCTTTTTTTCAGTCCTGTTTTTTACAAAATGCTCTCCTATAACATCTGTGCTCAGTTGCTGCATACTCATTGGAACAATGCTGTGGCGCTAATTCACACTATAACACAAATGGTAATTTTTGTATGGTAACATTTGTGTGCACAGGCATCTTCATTTGCTTAAATGGTGAGAATGTTAGAAATGTTTAAAATATACTTGTTCCTTTCTGTTGCTTGAGTAAGGTATGGCTGTATTATTAAAAAGTGCCTTACTTAGTTAGCATTGCAGGCATGGAGGATAAGATACCTAAGTGTAGAACACTAGTATTTGGAGGGGGGGGAGGCTGCACATCACCATTTTTTTAATAGATTTTTTTTTATTCCGCCTTTATTATTTTTATAAATAACTCAAGGCAGCGAACATACCTAATATTCCTTCCTCCTCCTATTTTCCCCACAACAACCACCTTGTGAGGTGAGTTGGGCTGAGAGAGAGTGACTGGCCCAAAGTCACCCAACTGGCTTTCATTTTTCTTCCAAATCCTTATAATTGCACTTTCCCTGACCCACAAGCATATCTGCTTGCCCTCCAGCTGGCCAATGGAAAAGCAAAATAGCTACATTTCAACTAGTTCTCTTTCCTTACATCTTCATCACTCCTCGGATTAATTGGTTGTGATAGAGAGATGCAACAACAGTGTCTCAACTTCAAGGAAGGAAGGGGATATTAAGGATCTGGGAGGCAATGGAAAAACACTTGCAATACAATCCCTGCTGCAAAACCATATTTATGCTGCAAAACCATATTTACAGTGTTTCTTTGGGTTTCTTCTGGAAGTGAATCAGCTCAGCTCAATTCAGCTTATGAAGAGCTCTACAAACTTCATAGTATTGTGGAGAGGTGAGCACAGCCCCTATCTTGGATCAGTGCAACTTTTGCATGTGAATGGAGCCCAGATTAGAGCAGTTCTTGTTGATAAGTATTTTGTTTGCAGTTTTCTTGGCAGCATTTTTGGAAGTGATTGGCCATTGCTTTCTCCCTAGGGCTGAGAGAGAGTGAATGGTCTGAAGTCACCCAGCTGACTTTGTGCTCAAGGCAGGACTAGAATTCACAGTCTTCCAGTTTGTACCCTGATGCTTTAACCACTATACCAAATTGGCTCTCTCTTGTTGATGTAGCTCATTAAATGTGATTGCCTTATAATGAAGAAAAGAGGTATTAGTTGTCTTTGTCAGAATCTTTTGAATTGGTCTTGTCCTCTTTTGCTGTTAACAATAATATTTATTGGGGTGGTAATCTGTCTTCTATTTAACAGCGAGACCAGAAGTTTATTTAATCTCTGGCACAGTGGAGGCTTGAGTTCTGCCAATCCATATTTTATAAAAAGCTTTCTGTTGTAAATATAATCTGCATGTTATCAAGGCAGGGCATGTGTTCTCAGTATATTTGTTAACATTTAGGCAAAACTGAATACTTTTCAGATTTTGCTCTGGCTCACTTCTGATATGATTAAGAGTAAGATTCTTGGTCATGGATAACCAAATGGATGAACAAAAAGTTCTTACTTTGGTCTATTACATGTTTTCATGGTGTTTATTCATATGAGGCACACAGATGAATAGTAGCACAGCCAATAAAGACCCACATATCAAATGCAGTAGTGTATCATCTTGGTAGCAAGTTATTGCTCTTCAGACTTTTACATGACAAACTGTAGGGATGTTATGGAATTGGCCCTTCTGTGTGTCTCAGATTTGGGAGGGTTAATTCCCTGATTCTCATCACTGCATCACCCTTCAAGTGTCAGGCTTTATGGCAAAATACATGTCTCTGTGGAAGCTTAACCCTGCATCCAGTTAATAGCTAATTGCAGAAGCTTCATAGAATCAATAAGATTAGAAAAGCTGCTTTATGGCAGACAAGAAAGAAGTCATATTTATGCAGAAGATCTGCCTACTGCAGAACACAGGAATCAAAGTATACACGCATACAATACACACATGCACATTGGTCCCAAGGTTTAAATCCTAGGCATGTTTCTCCTGCCCATTCAAGGCAATAGACTTTTGGTCTTGACCATTGAGGACATCTGTTATATAATGATTCTGTCTGGACTGAGAATTGAAACTTCCCACCTAGTCAGCTTAACCCCTTTACACTAAGAATGATCATGATTCACCAACTTCAGTTTTCCAAACTTTGCTCAGATAACTGCATGTGCATGGTTCATACCTTCCTCCTTCCTTCTAATTGTCTTTACATAATTATTAGAATGTATTAGTACCAAAAGGGGGGGGGGGACAGAACATCTGATATTGTACCAAATACCTCTCAACATATTTATATACAGATGGGATTGTAAAATCAGAGAAGTTATCCCAAAGAAACCCATTACAGAGAAGTCCATATCCTATTCAATTTCACTTTCTTCCCAAAAGCGAGGTTCCCGGAAAAGGGCTTTCAAAGAAGGCGGCGTTTTAGATATCCAGCCTATACAGTATCCTCAAATCCCAGCCACAGACGTTCCTCTATTGTCTCAGTTAGGAATCTGGCCGCTGGATATGAATCAAGAAAGCTTTCAAACTGCCTTCCAAGTAATCCCTGTAGAAAATGTGCATAGTACTTCCAATTGAGATGTTGTCAAAGTATGGATAACAGTGAGAAGATTAGCATATCTTCAAGGAGTTATGCCACCACTGCCATTTGGAATTCTAAAATCAAGTTAAGAAACAAAGGGACAAGACATGATCCTCTCTTGGGGGGTGGGGGAATAATCAATTTGCTATTGAATCACATCAATTTGTCTTAATTGGGTTGCTAAGGTTTTTTCATCCAACTTATCATTGGTTCCTAGCACCAGTTCAGGATAGATGTATCTGGAATAGGTGAAAAGGAGGAGTGAGCATTTGTCCACAGACCAATAACGCACGATTCCATATCACTAAATTAGCTCACATAATGATTTGAGGTAGATCAACAAGCTTTTGTGGCTCTAGCTACCTAAAGTAAATATTTGATGAAGACTTATGCAAGATTGCCAAAATCTTGTGAGATTTCTGCAATATTTCAAGGAATAGATGAAGCATCTCTTAGAAATATGGGAGGTACCACATTACAATCCTCTGATTACAATGAAGCCATATAGAACTCAGTAGCACATTTATTAAAGACCATTGAAGGAACAAGGAGAATCCAGAATGTATCCAGCAGTTTGGCAAGCCAGCTCTCTACTGAGAAAACGTGTAAAAGATCAAATTAGTCTCTGTCTAGAATGCTACACCTGCAGGTGAAGGCTCTGTCATTTTCCTGCTCATCAAGCATTTTCATAAAGAAGGGTTTCTTAATAAAGTTCACTCAGAAATTAATGGGAAGTTTAATGTACTTAATGAAATCCCAGCAGAATTTATCTTCCTTCATCTGTTAGAAAGAACAGGTTTTTTAGACAGGTGCTGTAGGTAAATAATGAATCATGTTTATTTCTTGTAATGACTTTGCATGAAGGTGCGTAAGTC